GTGGGGGTTGATTGGGGCATTGGGGATGGGGGCTGGGATTGAGGGGATTTGGGGTCACTGGGCTCATTTTGGGGTCACTGGGATCACACTTTGGGGCACTGGGGTCCCGTTTTGGGGTCCGCAGGCGCCGTCCCTGGGGTCTGGGGTCTCTGGGGTCACACTTTGTGGGGGTTGATTGGGGCATTGGGGATGGGGGCTGGGATTGAGGGGATTTGGGGTCACTGGGCTCATTTTGGGGTCACTGGGATCACACTTTGGGGCACTGGGGTCCCGTTTTGGGGTCCGCAGGCGCCGTCCCTGGGGTCTGGGGTCACTGGGGTCACACTTTGGGGTCCCCAGGTGCCATCCCTGGGGTCTGGGCTCACTTTGGGGTCACTGGGTTCACTTTGGGGTTTTGGGGTGGCACTTTGGGGATTTGGGGTATGGGGCTAGGGGAGGGCATTGGGGGGATTTGGGACTGGGATTTGGGGTTAGGGGATGGGATTGGAGATGGGCATTATGGGATGGGGATGTGGGATTGGGGATACGGGAATGGGGGTGTGTGCACCAAGGGCAGACTCTGGGGTCCCCCAGGTGCCATCCCTGGGGTTTGGGGACACTGGAGTCACTGGGGTCACACTTTGGGGTCCCCAGGTGCCACCCCTGGGGTTTGGGGACACTGGGGACACTTTGGGGTCATGTTTTGGGGTCCCCAGGTGCCACCCCTGGGGTTTGGGGACACTGGGCTCACTTTGGGGACCCTGGGGTGGCACTTTGGGTATTTGGGGTGACGCTTTGGGGATTTGGGGTGACGCTTTGGGGATTTGGGGTGGCACTTTGGGGTCACTGGGGGCCAAGGCCTCCGAGTGCCGCCGCGCCTTCGGGGCGCCCCCCGAGTGCTGAGCCCCCCGGCCCCCGAGCGCCTGGACGGGAGAGGGACCCCGAAGTGGGACAGGATCGGAGAGAGAAACCCCAGGGACCCCAAAATGGGACAGGATGGGAGAAAGAACCACCCACGAACCCCAAAATGCATCAGGACGGGAGAGAGAAACCACGGGAGACCCAAAATGTGCCAGGATGAGAAAAAGAAACCCCAAAATGCACCAAGATGGGAGAAGGCAACCCCAGGAGCCCCCCAAAATGTGCCACGGCGGGAGAAAGAAACCCCCAGGAACCCCAAAATGTGCCAGGATGGGAAAAAGAACCCCCCAAAATGGGACAGGATGGGAGAAGGGACCCCCAAAATTGGATGGGAACGAGAGAGAAACCCCAAAATGCACCAAGATGGGAGAAGGCAACCCCAGGAGCCCCCCAAAATGTGCCACGGCGGGAGAAAGAAACCCCCAGGAACCCCAAAATGTGCCAGGATGGGAAAAAGAACCCCCCAAAATGGGACAGGATGGGAGAAGGGACCCCCAAAATTGGATGGGAACGAGCCCCGAAGTGGGGAAGGGACCCCCGGGATGGGGAGGGGGCTGAGGTGGGGAATGGGACCCCCAGGACCCCCCTCAAATGCTCCAGGGTAGGGAAGGGACCCCCCTCAAATACCCCAGGAGGCAGAAGGGACCCCCAGGACCCCCCTCAAATGCCTCAGGATGGGGAAAGGACCCCCAGGACCCCCCTCAAAATGCTCCAGGGTGGGGGGAAAGGATCCCAAGGGACCCCCAGGACCCCCCTCAAATGCTCCAGGGTGGGAATGGGACCCCCAGGACCCCCCCAGGGTGGGGAGCAGAGACCCCCGCCCCCCCCCCCAGGCTCACGGCGGGTTTTCCATGTCAGTGTTAATATATTTTTATTTATTTATTCATTCACCCCCCCCCCAGAGTGAGAGCGGG